CCAGGGCTCAGGGCTGGGGGCAGCGCAGCCTCTGCCCTTGGTGCCCATGGGCCTGCTGTGCCCACGCCTCGTGGTTTCCCATCTGCCAGGGCAAAGGTTGGGCACAGGAGTGCCAGGGCAGGGAGCCACAAAGTCCAAAGCCCTTCTTGTTCTCTCCCTTTTTAACTGTGACACTGCATGGCTGCGGGCTGTGGTCATGCTGAGCTGTGCAGCTGCTTGTGTTGATGTTGGGCGTTGGGCCGCAGGTGTATGGGGGTGTGCATGACACACAGGCATGAATGTCCCCTCAATGCCATGTGTGTGTGTCCCACTCCCTCCATGCCCGCATCTTAAAGGGGCCCCTGTTGCCCCCCAGCTCCAGCCAGTAAGCCCCTGGGTGGGGGGTCCCTCATACCTGGGTGTGACCCCTGCACTGCTGCTCCCCTCCACCCATGTGCATGTGCCCAGGACCCCCTGCTGCAGCGGAGGTGCCTGGGCCACTTCAGGCACCAGCCCCTTGAGGCCACAGCCCAAAGCAGGGGCAAATCCTGGGGCCCCCACAACTGGGACCCACCCCCAGCCCTGCAGCCCCCCACAGAGCCAGCAGGCCCAGGCCTTGGGACATGGAGCCCAGAGGGGCGGGGGGTGGGGGGCTGACCCCCCCAATACCTGGATAAAGGAGGGTGCAGGGATTGGAGTGGTCTCTGGTGGGGGGGGCTGCAGGTTGGGAGGGGGGGGCAGCAGCAGGGCTGGGGGGCAGGGTCTGCGGGGGTGCAGAGCCAGCTACTGCATAGTTATGTTTGCTGCTAAGCACCTTGTGATGTCATCTGTCGAGCAGAGCACAGGGGGCACAGCCAAGTATACCGGTGTACATAGTGTACAGGAGGCCCCTCCCCCCAACTGACTGAACCGATGCAGGACAGCAGCCCTGCACGTTTCCCACTAGTAGTGGGTGAGTGCGGGCACGCTGTGTCGACGCCAGGGGAGAGGCCAGCAGGTGCCGGATGGGGGGCGCAGGGGGTGCCAGAGCCAGGTCTGGAGCAGTCACTGTCCGGGGCTGGGGACAGCCACCTGCCAGGGACTGCTGCAGAGGTGGAGCGTGAGGTCTGCCCCCCACCAACCCCACTCCACTCCCGACCTGCAGCCCCTGCCCCCGCCCTGCTGGTGCCCCCACTACGACTCAGCGTTACCTACTTTCCTTCTTCTGGGACATACTGGGATGACACTGCGCAGGGTGGACAAAAATCAACAATATTTTTTTTCTTAAATCAGATTTTTTTTTAATTTAATCATATTTTCAAGATGTTTTTTAAAAATATAAGTCAAATAAGATAAACCTATATGAAGATGGTTTTAATGAAAGCTCTAAGATATTATCATGGAATGGGGATTATAACTTATTTTAGAATATTTGAGACAGCACATTCATGTCACCTTTCTGACAATGTTTCATAAAGCAGTTCCAACAGGCCATGGACTAGATCAGGGTCCCGATCTTATGGGGGTCCCAGAGGCTGCTCTAGAGCTCAATAAAGATTAAAGAAAACCACTGGACCCCAGGGGACTTGCTGCTTTGTCTACATTGTAGAAGCCCCCACTAACTATCCTGCCCAACTCCCTCCATCCCTCTCTATGGGGGCTTCAATCCCGCCCCCCTCTGGCCAGACTTACCTGCAGGAGCTGCTCTCCGGGCTGCCGGGTGGCCACATGCCTGTCTCTGGAGATGGGCATCTCACCGAGGCTGCCACCCAGCAGCTCTGCCACCTGCACTGGCTTAGTGGCATGTAGTGGGCAGGGAGGCCCACCTCAGAGGCTGCGTTGCCTTGTGCTGCCAGGGCTGATGGACTTAAACAGCCTTCCAGGAGTCACCCTGTGCCCCACAGTATCAACACAAATCACACTTGAGCTCACCTGGGCCTGGGGTAGGGGGTTTTCATCTTTTAACCGTGCAGCAAGGGCGTGCTGAGGTTTGCTGACATCATCTACGCAGCATTTAAAACATAAAATATGCACTTCAATGTGACCAGTGACATAAAGTAGTTAAGATTGCCCTTGTTAGCACAATTAGTAGCCCTACAGTGCCCTGTGGGTTGCACCATGGCCTGTTGCACCTGTTGCTACGTAGGAGCACCTCCAACATTTGTGCACAGTGGCCAAAAGCACTGCCAGAAGCTGCTGCACAGATGGCACCAGACTCCCAGCTGCGGTTCCTGCTGCTGCTCGTGGGCACTGTGGCCGTGCTGAGAACCAGCGCTGGTGAGTGGCAGCGCCTGCACGGGGCCGGGGGTAGGACAGAGCCAGGGTCCGATGGAGGGAGTGCAGGCACGGACGGTCACAGGGTGGCCTTGGTGCTAAACCGGGCTGTGGGATCCCGCTCTGCTCCACACGGGAGCCTGGGGTGTGTGGTCTCAGCGAGATCCCCATAGGGGTCTGGCAGGTGGGGCAGCAGGGTTTAGCCAGGCCTGGCCTCAGGCCCCGTGGGGCTGCGCCGGGCCGCTGCATCTGGGCTGGAGCAGGACGCGGTCTGCGGGCCGAGCCCAGGCTCTTGCTGCAGGGCCCCAGGCTGGACTTGGGTGCACGAGGGCGGGGGGGGGCAGGGTACGCGCGCCGGGGGTGGGGGGGGGGTGCGGGCAGCACGACCGGGCTGTGGGACGAGGTGTGTGGCCCCTCCAGGCTGGCCTGTGCCCTGCGGGGTCAGTCCTGTCCCTCCTCCCCAGTCCCTGCCCCGCACTCAACTGGCTCTGCCATCTGTGGCCCCACTGCCCCCCCGCTCTGCGCCCCCGCTCCGGCCTGGCGCTGCCCTGTGTCCGTCCTCTGTGGCCCCTGCGGGAGGGGGCAGTGAGCACGGGGGGCACTCGTGTCTGACCCGCTAGTGCTGACCATCACTCCCGCAGGCTCCCACTCCTACCGGCATTTCTACATGGCGGTGTCGGACCCCAGCATGGCCATGCCCGAATTCACTGCCGTGGGCTACGTGGACGACCAGCAAGTTCTCCACTATGACAGCGAGACGCAGAGACAGGAGCCGCGCAGGGACTGGGTGCAGGGCGCCGTCAACCCAGACTTCTGGGACAGGGAAAGCAGGACCTTACGGCGCTGGCAGGACGGATTTAAACGGAACCTACTCACCCTGCAGTATCGCTACAACCAGACCGGGGGTGAGTGTGAGCAGGCAGATGTGAGCAGGAGGCCGTGGGGACCCTGGCACTGAGGGTGATGACAAGGATCTTGGGGAGACACCTGCCCATTAGCAGCGCGGGGTGGGGAGCCGGGAGGGTGTATTGTTGTCTCATGTCTGGTCTGTGTGTCCCTGCAGCCGGCTCGTCCCTCCTCCACCTGGGGCAGGGCCAGGGGCAGGGGTGCCGGCACCTGCTCAGTCTCCAGCCAGGGGGTCAGGGGGCTGCAGAGGGAGCTCTCCCCTCCCTTCCTCCTCCTGGGCATCTGGGCTCAGCACCATCCCCTGCCACTGCCCGCTCTGCCTTCCCGAGAAGGGCCAGCTGGCCCGCGGCCGGGCAGAGACCAGCTGTTCCCCGGGTGCGCGGGGGCCGCGGGTGTCCCCCCCCAGCCTTGTTCTCCGTGGACGGAGCCCCCGCGCTGTCCCCGCGCTGCCCCCGCCCAGCCGGGCAGCCCTCGGGCACCTGCTCCGCGGGGCCGCGACTGACCCAGGGCCTGGATCTGTGTTTCAGGGTCTCACACGCTCCAGTTCACGTACGGCTGTGAGCTCCGCGCAGACGGCAGCACTGGAGGCCACATGCAGCTGGGCTACGACGGGGCAGACTTCATCAGCTATGACCTGGCAACGCGCACCTGGGTAGCAGCCCCGGCACAGGCCCAGCGCACCCAGCGCAGGTGGAATATGGATACGGCCATTGTTCAGACTGCAAGTGCCTACCTGGAGGAGACCTGCATCGCGTGGC